AGGCTGCGATTCTCGCCCAGGGCCTGTACTTTTCTGAAAGGCACGGTAGGCCGTAGAATGTCTCGCTGCTCGGCCTGTGTTTCCCTCAACCAACTGACGCGACGAAACTGCCTGGACCCCCGAATACGAATTTGACAGCTTAGGGCCTCTCGCGATTTGTTAGGCCCGCCTTCACTTAGGGCGGGCACATATGCAACAGGGGGCCCTTAGGCCTGCCAAGGTCCCCGATCCTCGCAGAATGGATGCCTTGCTGAGATTCCCGCATTCTGCTGAGTTTTCTAAGTCTGTGTGTGTGTGCGTGCTTGGTGACCTGCGTGCCTGTCTGAGTGCTTGGCAGCCTGAGCTTGTGTGTGACCCGCAAGGGTACTTGCTTGTTTGGGAGGCCCATAGGGCCGGTACTGACCTGTGGCCGTGACATTGAGGGTTGCAGCAGGGGAAAACACTCAAGTGGCGGGGCAAGAGGCCCTTGACACTTAGAGCAGCGGAAAAACACTCGAGTAGCAGGTAGGCTGGTACCACACCATGTAAAAGTAGATGTGCCGGGTACTTGAGGCTGAGTAGAAAAGACAAGAAAAGTTGGCATTTTTAGAGGCCCAGTAGTTGTAGGCTAGGTCTAGGTGGGTACCAGTCCAACCAGTCTGAGTCTAAGGCCTGTACAGGCAATATCAGCGCCTGCAATGATGTTTCCCTCCGAAAAGGAGGAGGTACGGGTTGCTTGGAGGCCCCGCGGCCTAGGATGTCACCGCCCAAGAGACAAGTAGGCCGCTATATCCCCAGGTTGAGCGAAGTGCTCCTCCTCATTTGCGGTAAGTTTGGACATCGTGCTGCTTGAGCAAGCACCAGCCTTCAGAATGCTGGTGCAGGGAGGAGCGCTTGGCAGAGCAGCGCTCGGAGGAAGGAGGAGGCCGGGAGATTCCACCGTGGCTATGGTGGAGCTCTACAGGTAAGAGGAGGAAGGAGAGGGTGACCAGGAGGGAGAGAGGCGAGGTGCCTACCTGGCTATGGTGGCCACCATCTTCATCACCTCGTTAGGCACTGCATCAGGAAGGCCTTAGTGGGTTTGCGCCGCACCAAGAAGCTCCGAGGCAGAGTCAGGCATGGCGGCCTGAGTAGCAGCGGGCATAGCTGCTTTGTGTTGTCCTTTGCACAGCTGGGCAAGGCCCTGGTAGTCCGCCATAGCCTCGGAATTCGAGAAGGAAGGTAAGAGTGGCCATGGCTATGGTGGACCTCATGTGGTGTTTGCAGTAGAAGAGGGATTCAGACATTGATTCTGGTTCAGCCATTCAACATTATTATTATTATTTATTGTTTGAATAAGAGGGGAGGAGAACAGGAGGAGGAGAGTGGTTGGCGAAGGAGGAGGGACTTATCATTGGTCTTTGCTGGTGTACATCTTCTTCTTCTTCTTCCTTCTTCTTCTTCTTCTTCTTCTTCTTCTTCTTCTTCTTCTTCTTCTTCTTCTTCTTTCCCTCTGTGAGGACTGTGTCCTCATGGGGCCCTAGACAACATGCATATATTCTGGACTGTGGCCCCCAGCAAGCCTCGTGCCCACCCTAAGTGAAGGCGGGCCTGCATATACACGAGAGGCCCTTATCTCAGCATTTTCCAATGTGGGTATGACAGTTGCGGCACGTCAGTTGGTTGAAGTGCAACCTGGGCCTCACCCTGGGCTCTATCCAGAAGCAGCAGCTGTGTCAAGCAGTTGAGCCCAGGACGCAGGTGGTTGCGCCCTGGGCACACACAGCGTGAGGCTGACAGAACACGAAGTGGCCATGGGCCAATGAGAATGCAGCATTGTCGTCACACCTACCCGCAGGCCAATGCGAACACAGCAAACACTTGGAGCTTGGAGAATCCTGGGTGTGCCCAACTGCAAAGGGGCCCAGGCCCTCAGCTGTAGACTTGGGCCTGGGCACAGACACTGGGGCCTGACCAGAAGCTACTGGAAACTTCCAGGGCCAGGCCCAGCAGCAGCAGTGACTCCCATATAGGGAGGACACCAGCCAGTGTTTGGCATTCAGGCCTTAGCAGGCGATGCGGACACGCTGCTGCGCTTCTGCGCTGGTGTCTGCGTTAGCTGGCTGGCCGGGCGCGCGCACAGGTGCTGAGGTGAGCGGCGCTGCAAGAGCAGCGGGGCGCACAGCAGCCATAGCCGGGCTGCAGGGGCGCAAAGGCAGGTGATGGCGAAGGTGGTCTTCGGGTAGGAGGCGCATGAGGGAGTCCAAGGGGTGATGAGAGGAGACAAGAGAACGTACCTGGTGTATGTGGGAGGTCGGCATTGGTGTTGACGTCATGTACATTGGTCTTCGACGGCGAAGTGAGCCTGTTGCTCGAACGTAGATAGGATAGATAGGCAGAGTAGAGTAGGCTGGGCACTGGGCGCCGTACAGCAGGAGCGACATTGGAGACTGTGTTGATGTGGCCTGAGGCCTTGGACATTGGCTCATGAGTTCATTGTATCGCTCTTATTTGGATGGAATCTTGGTGCATTTGAGCTCTCTGCTGTGTACATGACTATCTGGACTTCTGTGTGATTGTGCAACTTGGTTTTCTGTTTATCGCTCTCGCTCATATTCCTTGCAATTTGGTATCGGAGCTAGTTCGACCGCCAGTACTTGGCGCTGGTGACATTGTTACTTGGTGTGTTCACGAAGCTTCTATGCAGTAAGGCTACATTGGCGCTGGCATGTTGGGCCCACACCCGGGTATAGGGGTGTGTCGCCGGAAGGCAGTGGCGACAACAGATGTATGTGTAATGATGAGAACATGCTGATGTGGCATTTTGACTGAGGTGGCACTGCATTAAGTTGTGGGTGGTACCGAAGCTACGACCGGTCATCGAAATGCACATTGGCTCAATTGGTGAGAAATCTGTGGTTGAGGGCAGGTATCTCCAGGTACGTTGTTCCCTTACCTTACCTTCCCTCTCAATCTCTTGTTACCGTGAGGAAGTGAGTCCAACCTCGAGTGTCCTCTTTTAAGAAAGGAGTTGTGAGCGCTCTACCTTGAGAGACGACATTCTTCGCGGTGGCGCATCTGGCAGGAGAGGGCGGTGCCTCTGAAGGGCCCTGGTCGAAGCACGGGTCACGGTCACCATGCCAACCCATGGGAGTAGTACACACATGCCATGCTGCTTTGTCCTTTCAGGCTCTTAGCTACGCTAATAGAGGGATCTTGGACAGACCAGTCCTATGTAGACGCATACCAGACCGTCTATAAACATTTCTGGCGGGAATCTGAACTGTACACTGGTTGTGATCGTCGTCCTGTCTGTGACATTAAATAATTCCTGAGGACCTTGGGGGCTGTCCTTAAAATGCCTCTTGATCAGCCAGATCAGTCAGACGTAAGGCTCGTTGCACGCAAGGGTAAATAAAGGGCAGTTCTGGTCATAAGCGAGTTCCTGGGCACAAGGGTGGGCCGTTAATGCACACCTTAGTCACTGTTGCTTGATGATGCGAACAGATACGTTGGATACAAGCGAAGGAAGATTCCAATTGGTGCTCAACTACGGACACAACTATTTCCATTGTGCATATATCTGCTCTCATGATTTATTTTTATTTTGACTAGTTGGTGGACAGACTGCTAACACCTAACAGACAGCTTAGACTGGAATTGTAGTGTTCTACCGTAGCCAATTCTTCTCGACACTACTGTGAGTGAAACTAGTCAAGATAGGAGTAGACATATGAATAGTCTGTGTGAATGTTACTGACATTGCTTAAATGGTAGTCTAGGTTATTTACGGGTTATTAGTTTATTTTTAATCATTTTTAAACCCGGCCAGACACATGTTGTGGTGAGGGCACTAGTGCAGACAGTGAACTGCCTAGCTGATGACCGGAACAGAGAGGGAGGAAGGAGTAGCTGACGATAGGAGACAAACACGACGAGATACACGTAGATTTCCGGTAGTGTTTCAGGTTCTGTTACCACGGGACGAAAGAAGTTTTCGGGCCGAAGCAAGGGCCCGACATTTGCAAACCGCTAGGGAGGCAGCAGCAGTTGCAGAGCATGCTTTAGCGGAGGCTGCAGCAAGTGCTGAAGCTATGGCTGCTCCAGCATCGACCTCCCAAGGTCAGCAGACGTCAGGAACTTTCGCCATGTCCTTTGTCTCATCTAGTGGGACAAATGCAGGACCCTCCACCAGTCAGATGGTCGGTTCGCAGTACAGCCAGCCACCCCGCCCACCCACTAGAGAGGAGTCGGAACTCCAGTAGGTAGAGCTACTCCGCATTTAGTTAGAGAAGCAACTTAGGGAAACAACTATAAGACAAGATCAGATTAAGAAATGCAAAGCCAAATTGGAGAGCAGAGAGGCAGATAAGGCTGCACTAGAAGGGGTAGACAATTCGACCTTGGATGATCTAGGAAAGATCTTCCGGGCAAACCTGTTAAACATGAATGAGTATCTTGACATTCGACTAGATGAAATTCAGTCAACCCTTGACCAGATATTGAGAGCAGTGCAGGGAAGGGGAGGACCACTACCCTCTAGCAGTGACACGTCAACAACACGTCAGCCGACAACCGTGCCACGTCAGCAGCCGAGTAGTGCCACGTCAGCAGTAGGGAGTGCCACATCAGCAGGCCCCCGGCCTGGTCTATGCTAGCACGCTCGCAAACCGCCGTCATGGACCAGAAGTCCGGGGAAACGGCCGAGGCCTATCAGGCCCGGATGCTGGCTTTGATTACCGAAGCCAAGCAACGAGCGGATGCGGTAGCAGCCGCAGAGAAGAAAAAGGCGGAGGACGCCGAGAAGGCACGTCTGTTGGCGATCGAACTGCAACGCTAGCACGACGAGTCAGCAGCAAGGGCTACAGTTGAAGAACGCAGTCAACGACGCGAGAAGATATTTAGCGAGGAGAGAGCTGCTCACGATGGCAACAGCATGGTGGACTGAGGCCGAAGGTGGCGAATTCAGCGACAGCGGACCTCGCATCTTGCTGTTGCTCTCCCACCTCACGGACCTCCTGGCAACGTGCATTGCACAACAGGAGGACATCCATAGCCTTGACGACTCGGTGAAGAACCAGCAACGGTCGTTGGATCAGGTCAACAGCCGCCTCCAGCAGCTGGAGCAACGACCCGTTGCCGCCCCCGTCGCCAGCTCCTCCAACACTTCTAACCGCCTCGACGCATTGGAAGTTGACGTCGGTGCACTCAAGGACGACGTGCAGCTACAGCAAACCGCAACTGAACAACTTGAGCAGCGGATCTGCACTGCCGCCACTCACTCGAGCACGTCACAATGCGAATCGACTCCGAAGTTCGACGGTCAGGAGATCTTCTGCGACGCGACGAAGACCGACCCGATTCCGTGGTTCCGCCAGTTCGAGCTCAAGTTGCAGCTGCACCATGTCAGTGAAGCGAAGCACCACGCGTACGTATACTCCCGATTGGGGGGCGCGTGCCAAGTGTGGATGGACAACCTCTTGTATAAGTACGGCGTGGTGGCGGCCGACTTGCATACCAAGATCAGCTGGGATGATCTAAAGGCAGCGTGGCATAAGCGGTTCCAAATAGAGCCGCCATAAATCGAAGCAATGGACAAATTGCCGACTTTCTCACAAGGCACGATGCCGAGTGGCGATTGGATGCCGAGTTCCAACGCTTGACATCTATACCAGACGTCCCGATGGGCTTCATGGTCGTCAAAGACTACTTCATTTCGAGGTCGTGTCCAGCGCTGGGAAACGCCTTGACTCAAGTTGCGGACACGCTCACTACAACAGCGGAGCTCTTCGACAAGGACGCGCAGATTATTGTCACGAACGTGGAGGCCAAGAACCTCAACCGTTCTTCTGCGGTAGGCTCGAGCAGAGAACAGCATCGGTCGAAAGTGGTCGTGGTCGCGGCGACAATGCCAACCGACCCTTCAAGCGAGGCCGTGTCTGCCAATGAAGGGGACAGACTCGCAGCCGCCCGGGATAGTGGCCGCCCCGACAGAGGCCGAGGACGCGGCAAAAGGAAGACAAACACCACATCAAACACTGGGCCTGGCGCAGCAGCTCAAGCTCCATGGAACCACTACGGTCTCTCGGAACACGTATACAAGCTATGAACGAGATTCCGCTATTGTTTGTGGTGCAACAACGATCTCCACGAAACAGTGGTCTGTCCCTTGAAAGGCAAGGGCAAATCGGGAAACTGAGCACCGTCGGGAGTGAGTCGACGACACTCTCAACACCTTCGGAACCGGTTGCTTTCCAGGCGACCGCCCTTCATTCCGAGGCACATGCGGAAGTCGATAGTCCTCCTTTTTTTATATTCGTATGAGGACTATGCTTCCCGGCTCGTTCCTACGCAGGGTACTCATGCTCAAGGACAAAACGTGTGTGCGGCATCTTGTCCGTCCGGCAGCGGGGACTTATCGTCTTCACGGGATTTGGCGCACGAGTTCAACATAGAGGCCTTGGACCCGCTGACGTCCGAGGATTTCGCATGGCTTCTTCTCCCGACCACTGGCCGCTTATCGGGACCGCAATGCGCAACACTATGTGCTCATCTTCACACGTATCTATCCTTCTATGCACCACCAACTTCGCCGATGGATGACGAAGTTGCGGTGGGGGACATCCTTGCGTATGTTACGAAGGTGGCCCGCGAGTTTCGCAAGCAGCGGTATGATGACAACAACACACCGCTCCTCTATGTCTGCATCCAAGTTGGGCAAGTCTCCTGCAACGCTTTGCTGGATAGCGGCGCGTCTCACAATTTCATGAGCCAAGCCCTTATGCAAAGGGCTGGCCTTGGCGCACAAGTTCGGAGGAAGGCAAACCCGACGACGATCAAGTTGGTAGACGGAAAGACGCAACAACTTCCCGACCGCTATATCGAAGCCGTCCCGGTGTACTTCGCACCTCATGCATGCGAACCGGTGACGTTCGACATTTTGGACAAGGACTTCGATATTATTTTGGGAATGCCTTGGCTTGCCAGTGCGGATCACACGGTCAACTTCCACTGAAGGACTCCTACCTTTCGGGATGCCTTCGGCGCCGAAGTGCCGTGTACTATTCCTCTTCCGCACCCTTCGATCCGGTGCCAAGTGGTGACGGCCAAGTCGTTCCGGGCTACTTGCGCTTACGAGCAGCCTATCTCGACGAGATAGGCCTATGTTTCCTACGGACCGTCGCGGTAGCCGACTCTTCACCCACGGACTTGTCCTCAGACCCCCGTGTGGCGCGGTTGTTTGACGAGTTCGCCGACATCTTCGAGTCACCTACCGGTGTGGTGCCTGATCGGCCGATCTCTCAAGAGATCATTCTTGAGGCCGGTGTCGTGCCGCCGAAAGGTCGCATTTATCGCATGAGCGAGGAGGAGCTTACGGTCCACGCGCAACTCAACGACTTGTTGGACAAGGGCTGGATCCGCCCTAGTAGCTCCCCATATGGAGCGCCAGTTCTCTTCGTACGGAAGAAGAACAAGGATCTATGATTGTGCATCGAGTACCCCAAGATCAACGTGCAAACCGTCAAGAATGCGGGGCCTCTTCCTCGTATTGACGATCTTCTTGAGCGATTGGGCGGCGCGGAGTACTTTCACAAGTTGGACTTGAGGTTGGGTTATCATCAGATTTCAATCCGCCCGAACGATCGCTATAAATCCACGTTCAAGACGCGGTATGGGCATTTTGAATGGGTGGTCATGCCTTTTGGCCTCACCAATGGCCCGGCGACCTTTCAAGCGGCAATGACCAACGAGTTCCGTGCGATATTGGACCAGTTCGTGCTGGTCTACTTAGACGATATCCTCGTCTATAGCCGGACATTGGAGGATCATCTTGAGCACCTTCGGCGAGTGTTGGAGACGCTTCGCCTCGCCAAGTACAAAGTCAACCATGACAAGTGCGAATTTGTCGCAAGAGCTGGAATCCTTGGGCCATTTCGTCACATCGGAGGGCATCAGTCCGTTGTCGGACATGATTCAAGCCATCCAAGAGTGGCCGGAGCCGCGGAACGTTACGGATGTCCATTTGTTCCTTGGCCTTGCCAGCTACTACCAACGTTTCATCAAGGGATACTCGAAGATCGCGACTCACTTAACCAAGCTTCAATGTGAGGATCGGTCGTTCGACTTCGGAGAGGATGCACGAGAATCATTTTTGGCCCTTAAAGATGTGTTATTATCCACGGAGGTCTTGCGCATATACGACCCGCTATTGCCAACTCGCGTCGCTACGGATGCGTCCGGCTATGGCATTGGTGTCGTCCTCGAACAACACGATGGTGTGGACTGGCACCCGGTCAAGTACTTCAGCAAGAAAGTGCCCATCGTGCACTCCATTGATGATGCAAGCAAGAAGGAGCTCCTAGCCTTCGTCCACGCGCTCAAGCGGTGGCGGCACTTCATCCTTGGTCGAAGCCAATTCCGATGGGTAACGGACAACAATCCATTGGTCTTCTACAAGACCCAAGACACCGTCAATAGCACCATCGCCCGTTGGATGACTTTCATCTACCAATTCGACTTCTTTCCCGATCACATTTCGGGGAAGTCTAACTGTTTTGCGGATGCTCTTTCACGGCGTCCGGATCATTGTACCACAATCTATTCGACCTTCGAGATCGACAACGACCTGTGGGACAGTTTCATCCGTGGCTACCAAGCCGACCCCGAGTTTCGCGACAAGTACGCGAATCGCTCCTCTCCTAATCCGGGCCCTTCTCACTACCGGATCCAAGAGGGGTACTTGCTTGTCCACACGCAGGGGAAGGACCTCCTTTGCGTGCCAAGCGACTCTCACTTGTGTACGCTGTCGTACCAAATACCCTTACAAGGGTATTTGGCGTGTTTTCTGCAAGCCGCACTAGTGCAGCCTCGTCCGCTCGACAACGCGCGTACAGGAGGAAGTTTAGGCCCTCACCGGGGTGAGCGGCGCGCGCAGGGTTTTGACGGTGAGGCGCAACCATGCGAGGCCTGTGTGTGCGCAGCATCGCAGGCTGAGAGGGACGTGCGGCCCTCGGCCGGTTACCTTTTTGGTGTTCCCTTACGACTATTTTTGTCTGTTTATTTTTATTATTATTATTTTATGTTACTTACCGCGCCAGCTTTTGCTGATGATCGGTTCTGAGGGCGATGTCGGGACCAATGGACCCGGCTTGGCTACTACACCGCCGGACATAGGTGGCCGACGCGGAAGTCGAGGACCTGAGCGTGCGCCTTTTTGGCGGGGCTGGTTGTTTTTTTGTATGTTTAGGATGCTGGCAAAATTCCGCTACCCGCCCGCCTTGAAAGTCGGACCGGGGAGTTCAATGTGCATACGTGCTATAGGGTAAATAGCCACGAGGGGGAAAGAAACCCGGGTGGCGGGAGTCGTTTGTGGGTGTACGGTCTGCCACCGACCGTCTGCTGCAAAAGGTTTGTGTGTGAGTATGTCTCCCAAGACCCGCAAGAGGTGGATTATGCCTGGGCGGGGGCACCAGGGTGGTGGATGCAGTGCCCAGGCTGCTGTTTTCGTGGAAACTTTCTCCACTTCGACTTTCAAAGTTCCTATTCGGATATGTGTTGCTACCACCAAGACCTGCACCTGCACTGGGACCCGTTCTGCCTGGGCCTATGCTGCAAACGCAGCAGCAGACCCGCCCCTTCCTGCTCAGCAGGGCATTGGAAGTTTCCTCGCCGGCCGAGCATAGGTCTGGCGCCCCAGCTCCGATTCGCTATTCGGGGTGGACGATTTCTGTGGGTGAGTTGCTACTCACTCCTTAGCAGACTTCGACAGTCGTGAGTACGGTCCTGATGTTTGTATCAACCAACACCCTTTGTGGGTTTGGGTTAGCGCACAATACAGCGCAAGGGAAATCGGGCGTGATGGCAGGGCGGACTGGAGACAGGGCGAAGCTACGGAAAAGAGAAAAAAAAAAAGGAAGGAATGAACCTGGCTGGATTTTGCGCCAAGTGCATTCGAGAAGAGAGATGGCGAAGAAGATGATGAAGGCGGAAGCAAGAGTTCATAGTTCACTCGTCTTCCATCAAGATCAAGCGGGAGCAGATGGTAGGCAAGGGTTTTGGAGGCGGGCGAATCCAAATCCGACATCAGAAGTAGCAGAAGGTTAGTGGATTAAGAGTTAGTAGATGAAAGTGTTGCGCGGAGTTATGGAGCGGTGGAATCATGGCGGGAGTAAAAAGCCTCTATCTCGCGTGATACGTAGCAGAAACAGGCGAATGATGATGCATTTTGGGGGTTTCGGGCTCAGATCCCCAATTCGTGGAGTGGTCTGGCCGATACAACTTGTAGAGGCTGCATGAAGGAAAGCGGGCTATGTATTTGTCCGTGTTGTAGGGGGAGATTCACTTGTTTTTCTTATTTTTGTTTTTGTTTCTCTAGCCTGCTCACTTATGAGAGCCTCATCGGGCCCACTTTCACTTTCGTGCAACTCGCTACTTCAATCCTCACCGCCCTTTTCGTCACTGTTGTCGTGAAAAAGTGGACAACAGCGAGTAAGTCAGGGCAGTGCATCCGTCCGTGTGCCAGCGGAAGGTACAATCGGTTTTGCCATCCTATTAGCAGAATCAGCGTATGGTTAGCCATTGGGTTTGGACGTGCTCGATAGAGGGATCATTTTGGTTTTACTCATTTTGTAGGAGGAAGACTCCCTCTCCCACACACACGTACACAGGTATAGTACTCAGAGGCTCAGAGCTATGTGCAGCAGCAGGGTGTGCCACGGGTTACCGAAATATTGCAGTGTGCGATAGGCGGGCATCTACTACAGGTAGTGTACGCAGCGTCAAGGGAGGCAGGCACATATGATGGTGAGGTAAAGTTGCCTGTTTATTTGGGATACTGTCGTTGTGTTCCTTCGAACGGAGTGGGCCCCTTCTTGGTAGTGGCAGATAGCGTTTTGATTGGACTACTGATTAGTACAGATGAGGGGACACGCCCCAGAAAGACTTCAAAGGGGCCACGCATACTCTACATCCTAGCGTAAGTTTCATTTCGAAGTTGCTCACCCTATCGGGCGAGGCAGCGGGTGAATGGGCAATATCGGAAGGACCAGAAAGAGGCGACAGCAAGCAGAAAGAGAGGAGAAGGAGTCAATGCACGTACCTATTTCTTGTGAGGACCCGCATGAGGAGAATCCACAACTGCCTTTTGGTTACTGCCGATACGAGGTTACTGCTGTTACTGTGATTTCATTGAGCACTACTGAGGCTTGCTGCTAGCACACAACAGTACACTCTGTTCTGTTCTGCCTGCGCCTTGCTGCAGTGCAACGGTTGCTGTGTTACGTATTGTTGTTGAGCATTGGCGATGGGCTCTATTCGGACACAGCCGCTTAAAGCTACGCAGCCGAGGTATTGTCGAGATAAGCAGCGTGCGGTAAGTTGGACGGTGGTTGGTGCTTGAAAGGAGGCTGCTACTGCGCTTTGCTTTCGAGGAGCTTGTAGCTAAGTAGTGGTGATGTGGTTTATTATGGTCCATGTTGGACGATTACAGGGTTCTACTTTCGCTGTTGTCGAGTAATCGAGGGATAAGGGCAACAGTGATAACAGGCTGTTGTACCTTGCTGCCAATTATGCCTACCAGATTCACTGATTGCTGAGCTTGCTGGGCTCGCAGCTTGTGGTCAGTGCTGCTGTTTTGGTCCAGAGCGTCCACGGCCGTGTGTTCGGTCTCAGTTTGTATTTTAAAGGCGAACCGGCGGCTGTGTTGGCCGCCAGTTTTTATCGTGCGCTTCATTATTCCAAGCACCGCTCATCATATTTGATCGAAGGCAGTAACAGGTCATCCGCGAGGGGGCAGGTCTAACTACTGGCTGGTGCGTTGTCCGTCCTACCGTAGGTATTAGTTGGAGATGAGCTATGAAGTTGTGAGTTCGCCTATAGTCAACATACTTGGAGTCGATAGTGCTGCGGAGGGGCTGAGCTCGTGGAAAGGATCTATTACTGCAATTTGGAAGGTCGCTAGAAAATCGACAATTGAAGGTTGACTTCAGTTTGACCAATCTACTGCGCACTTTGGCCGCCATTGCGGGACCCTCAGGCGAGCCAAGGTATCAAGGCCCTCTCCAGCAAGTTGAGTTTGTCCCCCTCCTGTATCTCGAGAGTCTGAAACCCCTCACTCTATCCTTCTTACTCTAAGTCTAATCCTGTTCTGAGAGGAAGGTGGCAGGCAGGATTGCAACCCGTAGGACCGCAGCAAGACTCTCTGGGGAGTCTGGCCACCGATTGCGGGAGCTCTGCCGGAACTCAGGAGGAGTTCTGGAGGCAGGGAATTGAAAGGTAAGCATTGCTTTCCCTCTATAAACCCAGTTATAACCTCTACCTGTACGTCTTGTTATGATTGACCGAGTATATTGCCTGCATCCCTATGTTGACTTTTATGTTTGACTTTCAGGACAATTCAAACTTAAGTAAAGGGGTGCATGTGTAATGTCAGTTTCAATTTTGTTGTCTGACTGAAAGCAGATTGTGGGATTGCATCTAAGGGAAAGGTGGGAGGACGACAGTTTTGCTTCTGTTGACTAGGGTCAACCAAAGGCTGGGAGAGTCTCCATACGATTGGAAGGCCCAGTGTTATGTTTATTTCTGATTGTCTGGAGGACCAGACAGGTTCCCATAAGTTTGGGTGGTCTGGTTGCTTTGACTTGCGAGGGCTACCTGTGTTTGACTTTCAGGGACCAAGCATTTTTCCATAAGATTGGATGGCTTGGTTGCCTTGTTTTATTTGGGTTTTCTGATGTTTATTAGTTTCTTCTTGTTTATTGTGAGGGGAATTCAGGCAAAGGATTGGACAGGTTCCCATAAGATTGGGTGGTCTGGTCTAGAGCCATGCGCATGTTATAATCAAAAGGTTAAATTTGTTTATATTTTATACTACTTTATTTATGAACAGGCTAGTCAGATATTTTTCCATAAGATTGGATGGTCTGACTATAGCTTATCACCAACTGAAGAGAGTATGAATTAAGAATAAAATTGTGGTAAAAAGGGACAGGCTGAACCTTGATCTAAGATGACCGGTTCAGTCATATTTTACCTTAAAAAACAAAGTGCAGACAGTTATATATAACTTGGATACTTAAATGGTTCAGGGCGACTAGGTTGGCTAACCTAGTCATGTGCCCAAAGAATAGAAAAGTTGTAGTGCCTTGTGTTTGTGTATATTCTATGGTTGAGCTGGACCAGTTCCCATAATATTGGGTGGTCTAGTTTTATGCCTTATGTAAGTTGGGTATAAAGGGGATAAATCATTGAAAGATCATGAACTATTGTTTGATAAGGTTGACTTTGGGATGGTGAGAGTACTTACCTTTGTGGTTCGGCCTTGCATGTGGCTGAGTGAGATTGCTACTTGGTCTAAGTTTCAGTTTGACAGGTAGTTGCTTTAGATGTTCGTCACATGCTAGAGTTATAGGAGTTAGTTTCAATTCCTGCATTTTGCGGGCTAAGTTTTTTTTCCTTAGATCAATTCTCGCATTTTCTGGGGTCATTTGTTATACTTGGCTTTGTATAAATTTTGGTAAAGCGCTGCCGAAATTTCTGCAAATCCAAGGAGTTAGTCGAAATTTGACTTTTTCAAAGTTCAACTTGTCTAATCTTTATAAATGGCTTAGTAAAAATCTGGAAAGTCTCCTTTTCTAAAGGGAGTGCTGCCCAAATTTTTACTTACTTAGGGAGTTATACAA